TCTTTTAATATCTCATTATCATTATACATCTAATTAAGCGTTTGGGTGACTTTTTTCAATATTCCAGTATTGTTATGAATCTTGTGAAACTAGCTGAGGTTTTACTTAACTCTGTTACTTAACTTATTGCAGGGCCACGTGAAGCGCCACACAAGTCTCCTCCATACACGCACAACTACACATCTCAACAAATGGTATATCCCCCTTCGAGTTTTTACAATCGTCTTTCTGTGCTGTTTTATGATTCTTTTAATTTGCTTAATTAAATTGTTTTTCGATTTTTAAATTTTGTTTTCTACTTGTAACAGAGATAAGGTGGACTACCAGGACCCCTACTAGCGCAATATTGGTGCTTCAGCGTCGAGTCTGTAATGACCTTGGAAATTCCCACACAGCTTGTCAAGTGCTAATTATTGTTAAATGATTGGAATTTTTTTTCGGAAAAACAAGGAAAGCAAAGAGCTCTATGCTACGGTCGCTGTTGATTGGACCCGAAGTTTACACTGGCTTTGAGAAAAACCGGTTTCACTGAGGATTCCTTTTACACTTACATATTTTTGCAGTACTCATGCTACCGGTAGAAAAATAGGTATTTTATTGCAGTACTCATATTATTGGTGGAATCATTTCGGCCACGTAGCAGGTCGATCTTTGGAATTCATCACCAATGAGCCTCCATTTCCGTCCCAGTTTGAGTATGGTGAAGGCCCCGAATGGGGCTTCCGTCCAATTGCACCTCCTGCAAGTGGACTGACATTTTCTACGGCTCTTGGTGGCAACAGACCACGCGAACAATTCACTGGTAAGAATTACATTTGCATGGAATTGCATTTTGGAAATACTTAAATCAGATGCAATCATGGTCCGATTCTTCAGCTGCGCAGCTATCAACTTTGGAGAATTACTCCGACCACTGTCGCATCGTTTTTAATCCGCTGATGGCCTTGACTTTCGGTCAGCATGGTTGTGAGAATACCAAAATTCTGTTTAATTCGTTGTATGTGCGACTGCTGCCTGCAAGTCACCTACCCTGCGGCAGTAGAAAGAAATCTTCAAAAACAGGTTTTGGTAAATTTAGAAAATCAGTTGAAAAACCAAATGATATGATTTTTTACCTTGCAAAAGTGTTACCTGGATGGGCTGTGATGAGGTTATGCGCATGTGTGGTTCGGGCAGTAAGTACGTTTAGAAGACAAATAGTCCGGGACAGCTGATTTAGCAAATCCCGTATCAGTCTAATGCCGGTCACTTTGAATATTCACCGGGGAAGTGCACGAGGAAATGTTTGTAAATTTAATAGCGTTTTCGGGATTTTTATGCGTTTTTTGCAGCTATGCAATGCAGAAAACGCATATTGACGAGAGGTTGTTTGTGTGT